AACGGCCGGCTAATCTGGTACGTTTTCGTGTGTGTGCGCGTGACGGGCGGCGCGTAGGAGTAAAGCATCGGCGGCGGCGGCGGACCGGTTCTGAAGTGAAAAAACAAAATCTGAAAAAACTCGAAATGACACCACGAAATATCATAACGCGGCGTTCGTCTCCGGTCATTAATTGATCTTCACCGCACCCATCTACAGCTCATGTACGTCATATACCGACGATTTGTTCGTATGTGCGAGTTGAACTTGGTATTATAGTGTACACACACACATAACTGGTCGTGTGGGACACAAAGAAACCAGTTTCGTGCCACCGCGTTTTTTTTTATAGATGAAAATAATTTAACGATAATCTGCGTATTTAACTCGGTCGTTGCATTCACAGCCTCGGCGTGTTGCACGTGTGTAATTATTACTCGGACCGTGTTTGTGGGCAATCGCCGAGCAGAAGGAACCATTGATTTCGACGTGCGTTGCTTTTGTGTCTCCGCGCAAACATTACTGTAGCCGGTGACAGTCGGCCAGTGCCGCAGCCGTGTGGAGGTACACACACACACACACTTTAAAGGTTTAATATTTGAATTTTAAATCAGACCTCTTACACGCGGGACACGGGTCGTCTCCGTGCACGTTTTTGCATATCCAAACGCGCGTGCTCCTTCTTCCTACCGTTGTAACCACAAGGCGCGTCGATACTTTGAATAATGTTAACGAGTACGTTAACGCGGCGCACGGGCGAGGTCGACCCCTAAAAAATTACAATAATAAGAAAGTGGCGCACGATCGCCGGATATCGTGTACGCCCTAGGAGATAATGTATTCCGGACCTTTGCATACACGAAAGCGCGTGCTGCATATGTTAAGGCTCCGGATGGACCGAACAGCGGCAAGGGTCTCGGATATGCAAATTGCGATGGTTAGAAAACATACGTCCCCCGGGCTAGAACAGTTAATGCTTGACATAAACACGTCTCCGACTTGCGCAAGCGTTCCTCCGATGGACATCGTCGAGTTGTGCAATCGCATCGGCAATTTGCGCACAAATAGATCTAGTGGCGCGCCAACAGCAGCAAATTAATCATCGGCTTTTAACTCGTGTGGTGGTCGTTTGCTGCCTATGTGGCGACGGAATCGCGACAATTTTCCTTTTTCCTGCAAAATAGTGAAGATTACTACGGTTGGCGGAGATCCGTCTGCGCGATAACCTTGGCCGACAAACGTTCCAGAAAATTAAATACCGGTAGTCTAGAGCCGTTAAGCAAACGTAATAGGACCACGGACATGGTCAGAATAACGCGTGAATTTTAATTGCGCGCGTTCACAAAAATATTACTAGTAACAATGCTAGACGGGCGCCCTTTGCGAACGGCAACAGGACCCGCACGATCGTACAGAGAGTTGCATATGCGGCTTTTGTAAGGGGCCGTTTGCGGAAAAGGCCGCGGTCGAATGCGCGTTTATCGTCACACCCCGTGTCGACGGGCAACCGGCAAACACATGTACCCGGACGAATATGGTGACGACAGCACGAAAACAAACATCGACGACGGTGTACGACGACACCGGCAACTCGATGTACACGGAAATGTGGGTCAACGTGCGTGTACTACGGACACGGTGAAGTGCACACACCCACATCACCCTATGGGACAGCGCCGGACACCCCGGTCGTGTACGCGATGCAACCACGGGCTCAGGGGAGGAATGGCCGCCGAACAGCTGATTTTATGTACACGGTTCACCGACCGGCGTCATCCTATCGACGTCAACGACCTTGACACCCCCTGACTCGTCGTACGTGAGATACCGAAATAGCCAACGCGTGTTATCGCCTTTCGCGCATGTTGTTATTGTTGTCGTTAACTCGGTCCGTTGTTTTTTAACCGGAGCACCGCAGAAAGTGTGTGTGTGTGTGTGTCTCTTTTCGTGTTACGACACCACGTCGGAGGTTGAACCGAGGCCAAACAACACGCAACACGCCACGTTGGTCGGCGTCCACCTCGTCACCGGGTACAGATGAGCGACGCGCGGTTAATTCCCAGCGTACGTCTCGCAACCCGTTTTAATTAATTAATGGCGCGTAATGCTGTTAATACTGTTTTTGCCAGCTGCGCGTCATCGATGATGAGTCACACCGAAGCTGGCGCGGCGGTGAATGTTCACTCGGTGTAAGCTCAGGCCGAGTAAACACCTCCGAGAATAATTGCTGTCGACGAAAAAACATTGCACACAAAATACTTTGTTTTCGTTCACACAGAAATAATGTTATTAGATACATTTTGTGTTTTCCCGTTTCTAAAGTTACATAAGCCGCCAATTAAATTGGCAACGACGGATTCCAGTCGGTAGTGTTTTTTTGTTTTCTTCGATAATTTCCAAATTTAAGTAAACAGCACTCGTGTCACATACGTGACATAAAGCAAACACGGCAACTCGATAAAATCCTCCGGATCGGGACGGGAAAAGTTATAGTCTTTAATTTCACGGTTGAAGAATTGACCAGGAAACAAAACAAAAAAATATCAACGCACACCTCCACTTCAGCGTACTGCTAAATAACATCAACTGTAACGTCCGTCGGATTTCTAAATACAAACGATATTAATAGTGTAGTAATACTTCACGAGATTGTCGTCGCAACTAACGACGGACAACAGTAAATATGCAACATAATAATAATAGTAAAAAAAAAAAAAAACAACAGCTGCTGCTGCTCTATTCTTACATAACAGATTGTGAAATTATTATTTAATTTTTAACGAGATATGGAATTCATCAGATACATTCATAGTATAGATAACATTTACGGCAAAAACATTGACATTTATAAATAAAAATATAGAAAGTTATTTTTTCTGTAAATTAATCGTAAACATTTCACAGTGTGGACTGTTAAAAAATAATAACGATACTCGATAAAGAAAGTATCGATCTACGAAGACATTTTGCAACAACAGACGGAATGGATGCTTTTTGTATTTTAAAACGGCAAGATTTAATAAAACCGTTTGGTTCCCACGTAAATCCGTTGATGGCTAAACAACGGCGACAAAAGACATAAACGGTTTTACGACAAGACAATTAGAAACAACTAAAGTCGCCGCTGTCCGACCGGACGGACGTTTGGAAGTTTTTGTACTTAAAGGCCGCGTACAGTGTTGGCGTACGAAAGAAAAAACGAGCGAAAAAGTCAAACCGCATTAAGCGGAATTCACAATTGGCGCCTGTGTAGACAACAGCGCGGCGGTGATGTATGTGTATTAATTTACCCAAAGAAAAACATTATCTTTTCTATCGCTCGTGTATGATTAATGGAGTGCCATGTGTGTGCGAGTCCATTGGTTGGCGGCGAGACACGAGCGTAAAGGCCGCCACGGCCGTCAGGAAAAATAATATTACAGATATATAATGCAACAAATCGGACGGAGAGAAAAAGCTAATCAACGGCCGTGTGTATCATTTGTAATAACGCGGTGGAGTTTCACCGAGTGCGCCGGAGACGAAGAAATAAACGGTGACGACGTTACGTCAAAGGCGGCGGCGGCGGCGGTGGTGGCGGGTGGACGTTCTACTATAAACTATTACACACGGTGAATGAACAGAAAAGTAGAAAACACTGTCGGCCGGCAAGAGGCGTGCGGTGACATGGCGGGGAGAGAAATAAGAAAACGGAGAAAAGAATGCGACGGCTACGTAAAGCGCAGTTCATCGCACACATGTTGTGTTGAGAAACGAGGGGAGACGGTATGCGTTGCCGCGTATATGTATGTATGTATATACGGTGAATAATCAATAGTTTTATACAAGTTTTTTGTGCTTTACCGAACCTTTTAATGTTATTATTAAATAAGTTTTTACCGGACGCCGCGGCGGTGAATGTATCGTTCCGACCGAGAGGAGCAGCTTAGGTGCCGCCGAGCCGCACGGGATGATTTCGTGTGCCTACTGGCCGTGTTTTACTCCGTAAAAACGAATTACTACACGGAAAACACAATAACGCGCTAACGACACCCCGTAATGGGATGTGTTATAATTTTTTTCCCCGTTTTAAAAACCTAGTCGACGGGCCGCCCGGTTGCCAAATTTACTAGCGGCGAACGCCCATCGCGGGAGCGCACACACAGACACGAACTTTACACGGTCTCGCATATAAACGTCATTATATAATGTCTTTGTGTGCGACTGGCGGGGAAAAAAAAATCGATATCGGTTAATAGGATTAGTGCGAACTAACTAAGAAAAGCCCCGGAGACCCGTGGGGCGAGCCGACGGTAGTAGTGGTGTGCGTATAGTGTCTGAACACACGAGGGTGGAAACACGCGCTCGGACGGGGCCGACAACCGGCGGAGGAGTACCCGAGGGTGCCATCGGCCGTCTAGCACAATAATATGTAGAATACAGTCACCGCACGAAACGGCACAAATGTCTTGATTACGAGTGCGGCACACACACGAGGTTCTATAATAAATAATTATTGTTATTTACTCGGTTTCGTTATTAGAAAGTTTCCCGGATCGTAAAAAATAATTACACCTCCAAGTAGGGCAATAAAAACGAGATAATAACAACAATGCCAGTGTCGGTTTTAAATATTATTATTCCAGTGCGGGTTTGTCCGTAACGCTCAAGGAAATATAGTGCACGGTTTACAGATGGAACGTGGCGGCGGCCAAGAAGATCCGACGGAAAAAATAATAATAATAATAATGATTGCAGTAGTAATTATAGAATATTAGCGTCTTGTTACGCGGAGCCGCCGGTCGAAAACCAAAAAGTTCTATTATTACACTTGGACGAAACCGCGTCGTCGTCGACAATGTTAATTGAGAAGAGTGTATAATTAACGCGACCGGCCGGTCGCAACTGCAATAAATTATTTCATGGCAGAGAAATTAAAACAATCCGGTGGTAATTGCGCGATAACACAGTGAGATGGTAAAACGCCGCCAATCACTTGTTCGCGGTACACACAGTTTGTAGACAGTTTAAAAGGTACTCACGTTTAACAGCAGCACAGCAACTCTGGCGTGGCGAGCGGTGTCCCAGGACGAAGCGTCGGCGGCGGCACACGCGGTTGATGCGGCGGCAAACGGTAAAACGCGGCGGCCACCGTGAAGGTATAAAAATGTTTATTTACCCTGTGACGCGACACGGGCAGTTGACCGTCGACATTATTATTTTTTTTTTCAAGTTGACGCAAAATTCTTCGGACGACGAAAACAAAATTAAATTACGAAAAAAATGATTAATTGTTAATTTTTTTATTTTTATTGAAAAAAAAAAAAAATTATTGAGGAACTACACAGACCGTATATTATCACAGAGCGAATGGTTATTTGGAACTGCCGGTGACGGTGGGCGCCCGATATTTATTTTTCTTTTTTTCAGAATCGGAGAACGCGCGTGAGCCTGCGGCAGCGCCGGGACGCTTCTGTTTTGCATGGAAAAAAGGGGCCGCGGACGTCTCCTCGCGCACGCTTTCCACACCCTTCCCTTATGCCTCGCCGTATAATTAAGCGTCTCCTCCGCTGTGTTCGGGGCGGGGGCGGCGGCGGCGCACTAGAATCCAAAAAGCCGGAGGGACGGTTGGTGACGGCTGTCGTATATGCTAATGCCGGGAACGTCGCTTTTACATCAATGCGTCGTCGACGGCCGCGCATATTCAAAACAGCCCCCGCCCGGGACACAGCGCCACCGATGAGGTTACGGAGCTTGTTGCCGAGAGAGCTCGAATATATTACAGCCTACGGCACCCCGACACTGGTGTGTGTGCTGGTGGTAGGTAATGACGGCCAAGTAGGGGAAGGCGTATTAATTAATACATAGGCGGGGTGGGTCTCCGCGTTATCTACTTCGTTTATCAGCCACGCCTATCGGCCGAATCGCGCATATTAAGATTTACGCTGCTCGGCTTTTAATTGGTAGCCTCCGCCTGTATGCATATCATTATGTCCCTTGAACGGCAGAAATGCGAACTTCCCGCCAAAACCGAGCACAAGTGGTAAAGAGTCAACGTATACAGCACTTATTCCACAAAAAGGATTTTCTGAAAATATTGAAGTTCCAAAGCTTTTATCTTAATCACAAACATGACAACACTCAAATAACTGAATTTTTATACTAACGGATACAACACATCATTGATAAAAAAAAATATGACATTTAAATACCAGAATACGTAGTGAATACAACAGTAAGGACAATATAAACGATTTTCCATTCTTATATGGACCGACTATATCTTACTGAATAAATTTTATGTAGTCAAGAATGCCAAACATTTTTAATTAACTCGAATTTCTAATTGTTTGGTCCATCTAATTTTATGATGAATTTTTAACCATGCATAAATATTATAGAATTAATGAAGTCACATAATTAAATAAGATAGTTAAATACATAAAAAAATTATTAATCATATTTAAAAACTAAATTGAAAATTTGTTCAAACTTTTATATTTGTCAAAGTTAAGATGCTTAAAGTCGGTTTTATTGTCGACAAAAAAAAGAAACACTTTTGAATTTAATGCGCGTTGATCCGTTTATTTTTCATCTCGTCTATCATATCACATCAGCTTTTTTTACTGTCAAAAGAAATAACTCGGCAAATACGTTCGGATGATTGCACCGAATCAACAAGACACCGATATTATCATTTCTGTAATATAAAAATGCCAAATTAACGTAATGCAACCCCTCAGGAGCTGTCTCGAAACGTAATTATCTTATAGCAAAACGACCCCAACGCAAAATAAATATCACATAAGAAAATCGATTTTCATGTTTATCGCACCCTCCGGGAAAGGGTAAGTACGTGATATAACAATTTTTGTTAACACTCAACGAAACGTGGACTTACCTCTCGGGCGTTGCGTTGCTGTCAGGTACTCCGCGGCGATCGGCGACCGAACTCGGCGGAGGAGATGTAATTACTAATCACACGGCACTTCCGCGGGCGACAAATATGAACAAATAATAATAATAATAATGAAACAAAACAATTTCCCCGTCTAAAAATACAATGTGGACGACGCACAGTACACAATCGCGAGCGCACTCACACAAACATAGCGAACGCAAAAATTCGTATTAATGTTACAATATCTTGAGTGGCGCACACGATATTTACTAATGACACTTGATACTACTGCAACCGTTCTGTATAGTGTATGTATGTCCTCAGTACGGCGTCGAATACCGTAGTATCGTAGCGTTATCAACACAAATTATGATTTTCTCAGTGAACGATATTGTGTTGCGCTAATACGACTGATAGCGGCGGCACGTGTTCGACGACGGGAGCGATAGTAGGCACGTCGTTTGGACACTGCGGGCGCCGGCGGTCATCGTACAACTGCCAACTAGTAGTCGTTTCGCGGCTGCCGGCGACTCGGCGGCCCCGTTCGGCGCGCCGCCACCGCCGCCGACCCGCCCGTCCATCGATGCCGAGGGGGAACGGTGGCAGCGGCGTGTAACGGCCGCGCGCATATATTAATTACACCGTTGTTGCAGCCGGTGGCAGTGGTGGTGGAGATGACGATCGCGGTAGAGGGGGTCGACGGGACACCGGGCATTAAAACAATAAGAGCGAGAGAGAAGCCAATACACCTGGGCCCCCTCCTTCCGACGGGGTCGGCGACGTCCACCGTTGCGACAACCAATGGCCGCGCGAGAGCGGTTCGGCCTCCCCGTCTGCCCAGCAACGTCTCCACGCCGTTTCTCATTAGAATATTATTATAATTGGCGGGACGTCCACCACCTCCTCCGCAGCCACCATTCGCCGGCGAGGTGCGGCCAAAAACTTTGCGCACAGGCAACGAGCACAATAATTATCGCACCACTGCTGAATTTCCACGTGCTAAATGATCTGCCTACGCCCGAAAACTTGTAATAAACGAGTAATGATATTGGCATTCAAAAGGTAACGGGCCCAAATGAGTTGACTCGAGACATTTTGATTAACGTTCGATATAATCATCGAAAATAAATACTTTGTTTCAATTATATTTTTATTTGTTTTTAATAACTAACATAATACGACATAATCGTAAGAATTGAAACGACAGAGATAAAACGGGCGCCAACAGAAATCATAAATCGGCGCCAACGATGACTGAGCTTACAAAATTAAACCAAAAAAGTTCGAAAGAAACTAGTTACGCAATTTTAACGTTCCGTTTATGTCTGAGGTGCGAACGCTTTCTAAGAGTCGATAAAACGCAATAGATATTAGTTTTTTCATCAAGTTCAGGAAATCACAAGTCCAACATTAATTATTATGACTTTGGCGACAATGATGTCGTTTCCTATACTTCAGTGTGTCGTCCCATTGTCAGGAGTCGCATACAAAAGAGCATTAAAATTCAACGGGCGTTTGGAAAGTTTTTGGATAACGTAACGGAATCCGAACAAGAGATTAAACGTCGTGAACGTTTTTTATATTGGGCGAACACAAAACAATAATTACCCTAAACAAAGGTTTTCAAAAGATACAACCAGTGAACGTTTTTTTACAAAATATTAATTTCAGCACGGAAAATGATTCTATTTTATCACCAAAATTGAATAATTTGGCATTATTTGATTTGGAATATTAGATTAACTAAAAAAAAAAATATTTTTACAAAAGTAATAAATAATTTGTATACAATCTACAAATATTGAATCATTGATGTAAAACATAATTAATTAATTCCTATTGATAACTATTACCGATTATTTGAATTAATTTATACAAAGTATGAGTTTCGAGTACATTTTATCATAACTTACATGTTTGGCGCAATTTTTGTTTTTTATTTATTAGCCAGTAAATTTTTAAGTTTATCCGTGATATTTTGTTTGATGTTAGACAAGTCTGCTTGTCTAAGAAAAGAGTTCATACTTTTTGCACTATGAAAATTAAAATTTGATTTGGGTTTCGACAATATCCGAGAAAAACGCACTCTCGTATTTTAATTGTGTTCTAAGAATGATTATGATTTCCAAGAAAAATGTGTCACGTTAATTACTAGACGAATCACGAGAATATGTAGACAAAAGATTCCTTAATAACAACGGCGATTGCAATTGAAGCTGAATTTTTTTAATCGTGTGCTTAAATTTTGTCTATTTAAACTAAATTTTTAGACACTTCCTATGTAAACTTATGCGGGCATTGTCAGTAGGACAGTACTATTATTAAATAATTATTTTAAAATTTCCAACGTTGGCTGATCGTCAATCAAACCTGTCATTCAGATACACTGTAATGATAATATTTTCATTTGGCAACGTTCGCGTCAACGGTTGATTTTCTGGGTAACAGACAACTAATAGGTTTCTAATTAAAATAGTCGATACAACGACAAAGAAATCGTACGGTTAAACAAAACCGATTTTGGATTTCAATCTTAATTTCGCATATTTATGGGCGTGGTAATTACACCTACTGTAGAACGTACTCGATATTTTAACAAGAGGATGTATTAATTTAGGCCCCGTCGAGTATTGTTAATATCAAGTACGACCGGTGGGTGTAAACCTCCGACAATTCGAACATAATCAACGTCCTAATTCGCCAGTAGCTCACTGATGTACTTAATACACACGGTATTAAAATGTCTACTTGATAGCTGTACTTAATAATTTGTCTATCCTGTTGGCTGTGAGCGAATCATTGTGCGGCTTGTAGAAACCTATACAGAGGCAATGACTCTTTCTCATGAATTAACTCGACGGCGTTAAACAACCGATACCCATACAATGAATACATAAATAGAAACACAAAAAACTAACAGGATGCAGCGGTTATTGTTTAATTTGTTCTCAGTAAGCTTATGTGCGTCTTGCGAAACGATTACGTTTTGTAATCTTGTTTTTATAATCAAATCCATACTTTTGAATATTTTTTTTTTTTTTTTAATCTTCTGTTCCAATTCTACACTCGTCGAGGTTTACTTGACGTTAGAAAATCGGATGGATTGCGAGACATTTTGTTTTTTTTAAACATTGTGAGAACTGTGGACTCTGATTAAGATATTAGGTGTTTACGCGTAACCATTACAGTACACTGCGCTCGAGTGTCGTGTAGAGTTTAATTTCTGAACAGCTCTACCACTCGACCACAGCCGTGAACTATTGAACACAACACGTGAAACAGATTTTCAAAGTGTAACCGTCCGACAGCTTCGGCGGGGAGGGTAAAGTGAGGGGTAATCGATCAGGGATCGCACCCGTTGCGGTTTTGGTCGTCGCCAATGAAATCTGGACCTCCGTGTACGTATAACACAGCGTTGCCGAGCGCCGGACACGAGATTTTTAATTAAAAGTTTCTAATGAAAAAATACACCCCCTCGCCATGCCGCCGGGGTCGCGAAAACTAATATAACGGCTGCTCGGCAATATAATGAAAACAAACGGCACACACACACACGCATATACTTGTACAATATTTGGGGCTATACACATACGTGTACGTACACTGTACTTATGTGTGATGTATGGAGTGACATACCGTCGAATACACGTCTTCCTTACACATTATGTGTCTTACACGATATCCGGTGCATTTCGTGATGACTTGAGCGCGATAATGAACTGATCA